CCGAAATATTCCCGCCAACAACATTGTCAACAACATTGACTTTGGGGGTAGAGGGGAGGATAAAAACAGCCCATAAGAGAGTGTTTTTGCTAGAGCGCAGTAATAGCGCTCTGTCCCATTTCATGACGACTTCATGACGGACAAAGTGTGTAATTTATGCAAACCCGAGTTCACTCGGGTTTAGAATAAATTATAAGTTCCTAAGTAATGTTGTCCATATATAAAATGAATTATACCAAGAAAAAATCTTGTTTTTGTGAATACAACACATGATTATATTGATTTTAAGCTTTTGTAGAGACGTTCGAAGCGATTTGATGGTATGCGAGGTATTTGATGTTTGGCCGACCGCCATTTTGTTTTGAAGTGTGATACATGTTCCATGTTCGTGTTTGGTGTTTTTCACGAGAACTGTGATTGTAATCTAGGATAACATGAATTACAGAGCTGTCTTTATTCGTATTTGAAACAATAAGAGCATCTTAACAGACTTTTTTACGTCGATAAAGAATTTTCAAAGCGATAACAATGAATTACACACTTTGTCCGTGTTGAAGTCGTAATGATTTTGTCTTGAATTGTAAGACCGAGGRAGCAAGAGTGAACGTAAGAGTGATCCTCACTGGTGCAATGGCTAATGAATCATTAATAACCTCTAATAACCACCAATAACATACCCATAAGCCGCATGATGCAGTGCTGAATAACCCCCTTCGTCCTGCAAACAAAARCAATTAACTTTACACTTGATATCAAAAATGGTAAAAGGGATTGACTTTGGCTTGAATTTGATGACACGTTTATAGCAACACCTCGAATGAATATAAGTCTGGTGTCATACGGTGCTTGCCTCCTTTGGAATTGCTTCACAACCCCAGGAAAACTAGAAACGAACACCAGCGGCATTATTGGATCATTGTCGTGCGAAAAAGAGCCTTAAAACTCGGACTAATATCTCTGACGCTCTATCACACAAAATCCAGCAGCAAGATAGCCCGGCGTTGAATCGCCCAGCGCTAGATCGCCCAGGGCTGTTGGGTAGTGGACCTTGGTTTGGTGGTGGTCAAGTGACGACAATCAATCTCAGTGACGTAGAACAAATAGAGGAGAGGTAGTTGGTAATACCACATACCCTTATATCTTTATCAGCACCATTTTCGAGTAAGAAGGAGACTATCTCAGGGTTTCCTTGGTGGCAGGCAACATGCAAAGCGGTCTTTTGGCCACCAGATTTCTGGTTCAACTGCAAAATGAAAACAAAATATTTCGCGCTGTCAATTGATAATGGCAACACATAGAAATTTAATGACTGCTCAAAACTCGCTTTACGCYACTAAGCCCGCTTCAAATGTCGCACTAAATGTATGGAAAATCTGCCAATCGAAAAAGAGCAGACGGGAAAAATTGATAGTAGCTCCCATTTGGTACGCACAGGGTTCGTACAGATTTTTACATATAAAATTCAAGGACTTTTCAAGGACATTTAAGGATTAATTTTCAATTTTCAAGGACACCAATTACTAGTCCTGTGTCTTACCAAACAGAACAATAAAAACATTGTAGTCAAMTTTGTTTAAGAACTTTATCTCTTGGAACATATTTTTCTCAATCTCTATTAATTTCCTTGCCGTCGTATTGCACAATAGTACAACAGACATTGCCAAAAGGATTGAAATATTATCAATTTGCTTCAAAGCTTGGCAAAGTTGATCTCTAAAACATTACTTCACAACAACCAAGACTGATTCAAGGACTAAATTATCATTTTCAAGGACCTTTCCTCCAAATTCAAGGACTTTTCAAGGAAAATTTGCATTTAAGGACTTTCCAAGGACCTAGCTCCAAAATCAAGGACTTTTCAAGACTGTACGAACGCTGTACGCAATAGTCTCCTTTACGGTTCCCTGCGACATCTTCAAACGTAGCCGTGCCTTTGTATCGAAGGAAGATGACCTTTGAGCGTGCAACGGTAGAAACCCTCTTGCACACCCACAGATAATTTATTCAGAGGTATCTATCATTGAACGCTAAACGGTGGTCTAGGCAGGGCTAGTTTTTAAGATGGCGCAGGGAACCGTGAAGGTGACTATTTTTCATGAGCCTTGGTACTAGTAAAGGTTCTTACCAAACTCTTATCACCCTGAATGATTTCTTTTACTTTGTCAAGATCACCTAGAGTTGAAGCCAGGACGAGTTGCTCTACGCCATGTCCGTCTACTAACTTTGAGGTTAAGCCTTCAAGTAAGGCATTCAACAC